CTGCCTCAGCCTCCCAAGTAGCTGGGACTACAGGCATGAGCCACCATGCCCGGCAAATTTTTTTCTCTATATATATATTTCTAGTTGTCTAGATCATTTCTTTCTATCTTTTAGTAGAGACGGGGGTCTCGCTCTTGTTAACGCTGGTCTCGAACTCCTGACCTTGAGCGATCCACCTGCCTCGGCCTCCCAGAGTGCTAGGATCTAACACAGGTTCTTAAACAGTGCTTGGCATGTGGGCAAATGCTCAGTGCATGTTAGGAAAAGAAAAAAAAAAAAAAAAAAAAAACACAACCTGGCACTGGTCCTCCAGAGCTGCCAAGACTGGCTTGGGATGGTAGGTAGAGCAGCTGGAAGGGTTAAGGTTCAACTGTAGGAAGAACTTCCCAGCAAGCATGTACAGAACCAGAAGGGCAGCTTGACCTCCCAGGAGAGGAAGGAGGCCTGGCTCCTGTGGGCAGCAGGAACAAGCTGCCAGCCTGTTTCCTGGGGGTAGGGGCTGATGGATGCCCCAGGCCTTGCTGGCTCCACACCGGAGATGGGACTAACCATAAATCACCCTTCCCAGCAGGCCTTCTAACTCTCCCTCTGACTCACATCCTTCCCAGTTCCAGAGAAGGCAAACACTTGGGGAGGCCCGACACCAGGATCCCTGGCAGACACATGGTTCAGACTTGGCCAATTTATTTAAGAAATTTTATTGCTCAGAACTTTCCCTCCCCGAGCAATGGCAGCTGCTTTGGAAACCAGCCCTTGAGGACAGAACCAGAGGCACTGGGTGGAAAAAAGGGTGAGAGTGTGGCACACTTGATCCATTGTCTTGTGTTTGAGTATAGCAATGGGGAGGGCAGGGGGGCGTATCTAGAAGGCCTTCTAGGGACCCAGATATGTCTCCCTTGGGCAAGGTTTACATGCCAAAGCAAAGCAGACAAGGTCAGCCTGGCTTGGGCTGAGGGCTCAGTGCCCCTTAACCTTGTCCTGGGGTTTTTGGAATGCCCGGAAACTTAGCAACATCAGGCCCACATTGATGGCATAGGTGGTGATGCAAACGATGCAGAAATCATAGAGCACGAAGAACAGGATCCAGGCCAGGTAGACAGAACCAGCCAGAGACACCAAGGAACTCAACACCAGCAGGATAGAGGCCCAGCGTCCTCGTAGGCAACCTGCAAGGCAGAAAAGGGTAAGGCATGGGCTTCAGGGACTGGACAGCTCTAAAATACTGCTCTGATTTCACGGTGCCACCCAGACAGCAGGAGCTGCTTAGGAAAGTCTCTAAGACAAGAGGCTTTGCCAGGCCCCTCCAAGATCTTGGTTCCCCTGTCTGTTCAGTGATCCCTGGGACCAAATAGGTATTTTCCTGTTGAGCTCTACATGAGATGAAAGACAGGTCATCCTTGGATTCCCTTCAAAAAGGAATTTCTGAGTCTTTTCCACAAAACTGCGGTCCTAGGTTGTCTTTAAGGGCCCTTCAGCCTCTGACAGTATCTAAACCAACTGAAAGACTGTTAGATCCCACCCTGCCTCCTCGCCCCCAGGATGCTCAGTGATAAGCAGCTAGCTGGCTGGCAGTTGTCTGGGCCACCAAGACTGCGTGGGGTGGGGCTAGGCTGGCCAAGGGGGAAGAGGCCTGTCATGAAGGGGTGGGGCCACTTACCTAACAACAGCTGTAGTGTGTAGAAGAGGCAACCGTATATGCTGTTGGATTGATTGAGGACGCTGTCCTGTCCCAGCACGTGCTCTACCAGCCCAAAGCCCCGGCCCCACCTGGTGGAGGTTGTGGTAGGGGACCCAGGTTAGGAGTGTCGACCTAGTGCCCTGGACCCAGTCCTGGAAAGGTGACTTCCAGGAGGCCACCTGGGCTTCCCCTATTCCCATTCCCCCCTCCCCCCAGTCCAAGGGTCGATGACCTGGTGCCTAGCACCTTTGACCACGTCAGCTTTCCATGTCACTGCCCCTATTGTCCCCAATCCCCTAAGGCTGACCCCATGGCTCCTCCATACATAGGCCCCTCTTTTCATCCTAGGCCTTCTATAATTCTTAAAGATGGCAAGGCTGGGTTGACCCCGTTTTACACAGTTACTAGAGCCTGGGAACCCAGGGGAGATTCTCTTTGCCCTAGAGACCCACAGATCTCCAGCTCCCTAGCCACCCACTCTCCTCTGTATTCCATCCTCGATACCCCTGGCCTTCAAGCACAGCCAGGCCTAGCCACCTTGTCCCCAGACACAGCTATCACCAACCCTCAGGTGCCATCCTAAGACCACCATCGGTCCCTAAGTGCTACCCTACCTCCCTCTTTTTTCCCATCACCGTTATTCATTGGCATCGGATCCACCTGCGATTCCCTAGAATAACCCCAGTCCCCAGCACTGTCTGTCCCCCTCCCCTGCACTCCTATCTGCAACACCAGTATCTCTGAGTTGCCCAGCCCATATGCAACACCCCCTGGAGCAGCCCAGCCCCCAAGCGTCCGTCCCCCGGGCACCCCGACTTCAGATTCTAGAATCGTCTAGCAACCTGGCCTCCAAGCACATCTGGTCCCTGAGGCCCCGTGCCTTTCATTCCCGCGCGCACCTGGAGGAGAAGACGCGCGAACAGCTGATGGCTGTGCCCACATCGCAGAGCGCGCGGTAATCTCGGTCCCGGGCGCGCGCCGCTTTCACGTGCAGCGCGTAGAGAGAGAGCACTAAGCCTGCCAGGCAGAGCGCCAGCCGCACCCATCCGGGGTTCCCCCAGGTGGTGCTCATATCTGCAGGTCCCGCCCGAGGCGCCAGCGAGGAGAGCCCCAGCCACGGAGCAGGGGCGGGACAGGATATGGCCACACCACCCCCGGCCCTGTGGCTGGGGCGATTGGCCTGCCAGGTCTCCTCCTACTCCATGGTCCAATTGGTTGTCTAGGACTCAACAGGCGTGATGGCGAGGCAGGAAAACAACGAGGAACGCTGGGACTGGTAAAGCGTCAAGGGAGGGTGGGTGATCACCGACAAGGCGGCCGGCGGACATGACGGGAGTTGTAGTCGCGGCGGCTGCAAGGCAGCAAGGGAAATGGAGTCTCCAGAGTTTTAAAAATGACATTAATGTGGGTGGCAGTGTTTCATGCTGACTCTGTATAGGCTAAGCTCAGTGCTAAGCATTGGAACATCCAAGACCTAGAGACCAGCGGATCAGGGGGTCCAGGGAATACTGCGAGCCATTCAGGGACCAAGCATCTCTGAAATTATTTCAGACACTATTGCGGCTAAAACCTCCTGTTCTCCCAGGTTGCTCAGCCATTCCCTCCTGCCTCATCAGTGCTTCCTGCCAGCCGGTCTTCCTCTCCTTCTCTTCCTTAAATTCCCAGCGCTATTGCCTTGGCCACACCCTTGACAGTATCCCAACCTTTCTACTATGCGGCGCCCGCTTGGCAAAACCCGAGCCTGGATGGACTCAACAGTCATCCCTCCTATCCAAGCCTCCTGTGGGCCAGCTGAGCACTTTCCTTCACAGACATCCCATCTGCTGATGACCTACCTCTTCTACACCTCCAACCTCTCCATCCCTGCCAACTGCATTGAAATTTGTTTCTCTTTCCCATCTCAGAAGCAGCAACAAATCTCCCTTCACCAAGAATTCCTTCATCAGAGTTCGAGGCTGCAGTGAGCTCTAATCGCGCCACTACACTCCAGCCTGGGTGACAGAGGGAAACCCTATCTTAAAAAAAAAAAAAAGTTCCTTCATCAGCTCCCTCCACCATTCCTCTATTATCCCATCTTCCCCTTCACATTCAAGTTTTTGGAAAGATTTTACAGTCTCAGCCTCTGCTTCCTTACTTATTCCTTGCTGCCCACACCATAAAACAGTTCCTGCCCCCAGCACTCCCCTGACACCTAGTGGCTGGTATCACCAGGATGCTAAATCCAATGGTTATTTTTCAGATTTTACCTTACTTAACCTCCCAATAGCATCAGACACTGTTTTGCACTCCCTCCTGGGAACTGTCTCTTCCTCTGGCTTCTGTGATATTTCACTCTCCTGTCGGCCCTCCTTCCTCTCTGGCTGGTCCTACTCAGATCTACTGTTTTCTTCCAGAGAGTATTGTAGACAGAATAATGGTCTCCAAAGACGTCCATGTCCTAATCCTTGGAACCTGTGAATATGTTAGGTTACATAGCAAAAGGAATTAAGGTTACCAAAGGAATTAAGTTTGTCTGATGATTTTAAAACAGGGAGATTATGCTGGATTAGGTCCCGTGTAATCACAAAGGCCCTTAAAAGTAAAAGAGGGTGGCAGAAGAGAGTCCGGGAGATGTGAGCACAGAAGAGACACAGAGAACTACAATGTTGCTGGCTTTGAAGATGGAGGAATGAGCCCTGAGCTAATAAATAGGTGGATTCTAGAAGCAGGAAAGGGCAAAGAAATACATTCTCCCCTAGAGTGACAAGAAAAGAACGATTTACATCTTGATTTTAGCCCAGTGAGACCCTGTCAGACTTCTAAGCTACAGAACTGTAAGATAAACTTGTGGTGTTTTTGTCTTTCTCCAGTGTGGAGACTGACCATTCCTCTCTCTGGAATGTATTTTCACTTTGGGTAGCTTCCTTCTTTACTTTCACTTTGTATAGTTTCTTTCTTTTCTGTAATAAACTGTTTGTGTGGCAAAAAAAAAAAAAATTGTGGTGTTTTAAGCCACTAAATTTGTGGTAATATGTTACAGCAGCAATTGGAAGCTAATACAGGAGACTAAGATTTTGGCCTGTTTCTCATCTCTGTCTGTAGTCTCCTGGGGTGTTCCTGTTACTATTGCTGGCTTCTTCTAGAAGAAGTGATCTCAGAGGGAGCAAGATGGAAGTCATAGCCTGAGCAAGAGTGAGACCCCATCTCTACTAAAAATAGAAAAAATTAGTGGGGCTTGGTGGCGCAGGCCTGTAGTTCCAGGTACTTGGGAGGCTGAGGCAGGAGGATCGCTTGAGCCCAGGAGTTTGAGGTTGCAGGGAGCTATGATGACATCACAGCACTCTAGCCTGGGCAACAGGGTGGGGCCGGCCGTGCCCGGGCCGGCCCCCAAGCGGGCGACGGAAAAAGGGGCAAAAGCGGCAGAAGCAAAAAAAAAAAAAAAAAAAAAGATGGCGGTCACAATATCTTTATGACTTAGCCTCAGAAGTCACACAGTGTCATTTCTGCATTGTCCTATTACATCAATTCTGCCCTATTCAGTATGGGAAGAGACTTCACAATGGTATGGATACCAGGAGGTGGGAATCATTGAAGATTTATTGTTGTTCAAATCACCACAAAATTATGGCTTAACTATGATCTCACCACTGCACTCCAGTGAGGGTGACAGAGCAAGACCCTGTCTCAAAAATACACACATATATATATTATGGCTTAAAACAGTAACAATCATCTTATTTTCTCATGTAGTTTTTATGGGTTAGGAAATTGGGAACAGAGTTTTGGCTGGGTGGTTCTGGCTCATGCAATTGCAATCAGATGGTGGCTAAATCTGTAACAATGAGAGGCTGAAGCAGATGAATGATAACCGAGCATCTCTCTCTCTCTTCATGTAGTCTCAAGACCTACCCATGTAGTCTCTCTGCATGGACTAGTTTGGGCTTCCTCACAGCATGGCAGCCTTGGCGTTAAGCTTCCCAAATGGTCCTCAATGATTTCCACTTCCTGGTATTCATATTATTGTGTAGTCTCTTCCCACACTGAATGGGGCTGAACTGACCCAATAAGATAATGACAAAAGTGTACAACTTTTGAGATTAAATCATTAAGATACTATGGCTTCCATCCTGCTCCCTCTTAGATACTCATTCTACAGGAAGCCAGCTGCCATGTTAGAAAGGCACTCAAGTAGCCCTAGGGAGAGGTCTACTTAGTGGGGAACTAACGCCTCTTGCCAACAACCGGCATTGGCTTGCAGGGCATGTGAGAGATCTACCTTGGAGGTGGATTCTCCAGCAGCAGTCAAGCCTTCAGGGGACTGTAGTGTTGGCCAACATCTTGACTGCACCTCATGAGAGACCCTGAGCTGAAACCACCCAGCTAAGCTGCTCCCATATTCCTGACCCAAAGAAACTGTGTGAGATAATATATATTTATTTTTTAAGATGCTATGTTTTGGGGGTAATTTGTTACACAGCAATAGATAATTAATACAGGGCAGTCAGACTGCACACATGGCAGCCCACGGCCTCAGCACATGTGCTCTAGGAAGCCAGGTGGAAGCTATATCATCTTTTATGATCTAGCCTCAGAAGTCAAATAGCATCCCTTCTACTGTAATCATAGTTCCAAGGGGAAGGAACATAGACTACCTTCACCCCCTGATGCAACAAATGTCAAAGTCATATTGTAAGAAGTTCATGTGGGATAAGCCATATTTGGAAAACACAATGTGCCACCACATGAGGCAACATTATCTCCTCCCATGTCTTCCCTTACTACCCACAGGTCACAACTTCCAAGCTCTGACCTAAGCCCAGATCTCTCTCCTGGGCTCTAAGCCGTATAGTAGAACCACATCCTGGATGTCATCATCTGGATGTCTTACAGACCTATCAGATGCAACACACCCCAACTGAACCATTTATCTTCCCCAAACTTGCTTTTCCTCTGGGATCTCCCTTTTTAGGGATAGCCTCTCCATCCACCCAAACCACCCCTCTTGGACTATTCTTTCACTCTCACTCCCCATAATCTATGCACACCACTACCCTGATCCAAACTATCATCACATCTCACCTATATAATTGAGGTATCCTCCTTGCTGATCTTCCAAATATAGTTGTACTCCACCCCAAGATCCATTCTCCACACAGAAACCAGTTATCCTTTAAAAAATAAAGATGCTGTGGTAGGGCGTGGTGGCTCATGCCTGTAATCCTAGCACTCTGGGAGGCCAAGGCGGGAGGATTGCTCGAGGTCAGGAGTTCGAGACCAGCCTGAGCAAGAGTGAGACCCCGTCTCTACTAAAAATAGAAAGAAAAATCTGGCCGGGCGTGGTGGCTCATGCCTGTAATCCTAGCACTCTGGGAGGCCAAGGCGGGAGGATTGCTCGAGGTCAGGAGTTCGAGACCAGCCTGAGCAAGAGTGAGACCCCGAAAAATCTCTACTAAAAATAGAAAGAAATTAGCCGGACAATTAAAAATATATAGAAAAAATTAGCCGGGCGTGGTGGCGCATGCCTGTAGTCCCAGCTACTCAGGAGGCTGAGGCAGGAGGATCGCTTGAGCCCAGGAGTTTGAGGTTGCTGTGAGCTAGGCTGATGCCACAGCACTCTAGCCTGGGCGACAGAATGACACTCTATCTCAAAAAATAAATAAATAAAACAAATAAAAATAAAAAATAAAGATGTAGTTTTGTCACTCTCTGCCTTTCAATAGCTCCTAGAATAAATCCCTGTGTTTCCTTAATTTATTTAATAAATGTTTATTGGGCACCTGTTATTTGCCAGGGCTTGTGTTTAGGGGCTTGGGATAACTTAGTAAAGCAGACAAATATGCTTTATCTTACGTTGTAGAAAAGGAGGGGGAAATGAGCAATTAATATAATCAATATGTAAAATACATAGATAGCATGTCATTGGTGATAAGTGCTATGGATAAAATGAAAAGAGTGAGGAGCATGGAGGTGATTGCAATTTTAAATAGGATGGACAAGGTGGGCTTCATTCAGCTGACATTTGAGCAAAAGCTTGAAGCAGATGAGGGCACGAGCTATGTGGATATCTAGGGGAAGGGTGTTCCGGGCAGAGGGAACAGCCACTGAGAGGCCCTGAAGTGGAATGTGCTGGTATGTTCAGTGAACAGGGAGGCCCGTGTGGCTGGAGAGAGTGAATGTGGGGGGTGAAGGCAGAGAGAAAAAAGAGGCAACACGTCTTTTAATCTTTCTAGGCCTCAGTTCTTGCATCCGTAAAATGAAGAAAATAATGTTATCGACCTCAG